TATAAAATTAAAAATAAATAGATTTAAAAATATAATCATGCATATAAAATATATGAATTAATTGAATTTACTATTTTTATATTATATTTTAATAATTAAATTAAAATAAGTGTCATAAAATATATTAAATTGAGTGTATATCAATTATTTTCTTAAAATATTATATAAATCTACTCATTTAATGATACAATCACATGGTGTCTTATATTAAACAAAAAAAATATAAATGTAGTATCTAAAAAAATATTGGAAAAAGGAAGCTTAACATAGACATCATGGACGAAGCTACCACAGACCTGCTACACTTTTGAAAAATGTCTAATAAGATATATCAATTTTTGTTTACAACAAAATTTGTTTTTGATATTTGAATTATGGAAACAAGGAGTCGAACCAAAATCTATTATTGGATAAGGTCTATTCTATTTTTGAGTAATAGGGCATAAAATTAAAAGGTTTTGTGTATTATGTTTATTTTAATAGGTAAAGTTGATAATTGCAAGACTTTAAAATCATGGAAGTCTTTTGAGAGGAGGGTAGAGTTTGTGCCGATATAACCCCTCTCAAGAGTAGGTCCGCCCTTGATGGGATCCATTTCAAATCTAAAGGAAATAATTAGGACCAAGGTAAAGTGGCAATTTTTCTCTTTGGGACCCATTCTTAAGAAATAAAATTTTATCCAGGTCAAAAAGAATTTAAAAAAACAATTAAGATCAAGTTATATCAGTATAACTTACATATAATATTATACTAGTTGTAACTTTTTATATAATTATATTTTATCAAACTGGTAATCAGATTTGATATTTTATTCATATGCATTATAAATTTCTAATTTAAAGCTTATGTGATATCTAGAATTACATGAAAAAAGAAACTATACTTTATATGAGATTAATTAGTGTCACTCCAAAATTAAAATGTTTTAATAAAAAAATAAAATAAAATAAAATAGTCTTTATTTTTTCTTTAAAATATGTTATTTTAGTTTTTTAATTACAACTTATTGAAATGATATAATTTTAAAATATTTTTTTTGTTTAATTTTATGCAATTTCAAATGATAAATATTTTATTATTATTTTATATTATTTATTTAAAAATATTAAATTATGTTTTCTTTTAAAAAATTAAATAATTAATTTGAAATTTAATTCATAAGTTATACATTAACACACAAAATTAATAATTAATATAAAAATTTGTATGCACCTGGCCCTTGAGGCTTACTGGTAAAAGCCAGCCGGTGCATCCCCCTCCCTAGGTGGGTTCAAAATCCGTGCAAAATATGTTCAAAAAAATATATATAAAAATTTGTGTAAGTTATTCTAATGCCAACACTATAATGATGCATTTACGCCCATAAGCATGGGCATATTTTGTATGGAAATTGTTACTCCTTTGCTGGGATGGGGACATCGTAGTACCTTACAACGAAGGTGGTGGCATAGGACCGCGTGGGACAAAAAAGTAGTACGTAGGATACTTAGAGCATGTTTGATATGGTTTGTGAGAGTTTTTGTTTTTTGAGTACTGTTATGAGTAATAAGTTTAAATTTTTATTAGAGAAAAAATTGAGTTTTTCTTTAGAAATATGAAAAAATGAGTGAAAAATGAATAAAAAGAGAATTTATAAAAAATTTAAATTTGAAACTTTTAAGTTTTTACTGTTTAAAAGTTTTTTAAG